CCCCAGGCGGGGCCTCCTTCCCCCCCCCCCCCCCCGGGCACCCACCAATTTTCAAACATAAATGCATTTTAGAAAGAATGAAAAACACAAAATGTGAAATTGCTAATTTCATTTTTTAATTGTGAGATCAAGTAATACAATCTCTGAAAATCTCTGATTTTCTCTCTCGAACAGAAAAACACAAATCACAAAGCATTTTGAAAAATTCTGTTAATTGTGATGTTGAAATTTAAGTCTCTTTAATGTTTCAATTTCAGGCACATCAGAATCTCATTTTGCGTTCCTTTTCTTTAGCAAATTTTGTCACCAATTCCTTCAGGTCAAGCTTTGAAACAAAATGTTACAACTTAAAGGGCCATTAAACAGAATTTATGAAAGGCAATGAAGTTGTCCTGGTCAGACTCAGAAGTATTGTTTAAAAGACAGCAACACCTGCGTTAAATCTATGCTTCCCATGTCTACTAGCTGAAAAACATTGTGACCTGTTTTATCCTTTACAATATGCCTTAAAAAGGAAGATATCTTCCCTTTGATCTGTCAGAGGGAGGATTGTAAAAACTGTCCTTCCCTAGGAAGTCCTGACAATAACAAAGGTTGGGAGGAACACCAAATTTTAGTAATGGACAGTGTAGTTATTCTTTTTGTTGTTGTTGTTGGTCAAATCAACAATTGTTGATTACATATATTCAGGCCTCTCATCCTGCTGGAGCGCCCCGGTACTTCGCTCCGGGAGAGACGCTCCGTGGGGGCAGGGCGGTCACATCGTGAAGCCCCGCCCCCTTCTTCAAGCCCTCTCTCTCTCTCCCCTTCAGGCCGCTCCGAGCGTGCCAGCAAGAGCAGGAGCTCAAGGCCGGCACCCAGGTGCTGCTCAAGTGCCTCAGCGCCTCAAGGAGCATTCCCTTGACAGCCTCCTGGAAGCTGTCGAGTCCCGCGGGGGGCTGCTCCCAGAGCCTGGGCAGCAGTGGCAAGACGACGGTGAGCTGCTGCCTCTTTGCAGCATCGCGGGTGGGCAAGTAAAAGGCGACGGGGAGAGCAGGTGGTGCCCGTGTGTCTGTCCCTCCCTCTCCTCCTCTTGCCTGAGCAGGAAGAGATGCGCCACCGCAGAGAGCTCCATTGCACTGCTCTCATCGTCCTTCCTTGGTGAACCACCCGCCTAGCCCTGACTCGCCTCATTTCCTCTCATCTCCCCGCTCTACTGCCTCCCTTTAGCACGGGGCTGGTTGCCGCAGCTAGTAACAAAATCAAACTTTTGCGGCCCTGGAAAGTAGAAGCGGCGCTGTGCCGAGGGGAGTGGCACCCCTGCCTCTTGCCAGGGCCCCTTTGTGGAGGGCATCTCACTGCGTCCCAGGCCCGTTGCCACCACCCAGCCCTTCTCTCCGTGCTTTTGCCTTCCCGACCCCCCCGGCACTGCCTTTGCAGTGCGACAGGCGAGCTGGGCTTCCAAAAGCAGCCTCTTTGCCTCAAAGCCTGCAGACCCAGTGGGAGAGAGAGAGAGAGGCAGAGCAGGGGTGTGTGTGTGAGAGAGAGAGAGAGGGAGAGAGGCGTAGGGGTGTGTGTGTGTGTAAATGCTTGGGGGGGGGCGGGGGTCGGGAAGGCAAAAGCATGGAGAGAAGGGCTGGGTGGTGGCCATGGGCCTGGGACGCAGTGAGACGCCCTCCACAAAGGGGCCCCGGCAAGAGGCAGGGGTGCCACTCCCCTCGGCACAGCCCCGCTTCTACTTTCCAGGGCCGCAAAAGTTTGCTTTTCTTTCCAGCTGCGGTGGTGGAGAGGGCACCCTACTGAAGCCAGCCCCATGCTAAAGGGAGGGAGTAGGGCGGGGAGATGAGAGGAAATGAGGCGAGTCAGGCGGCGGAGGGACGGGAGCCACCCATGGGCTAGGCGGGCGGTTTACCAAGGAAGGACGACGAGAGCAGCGCAAGGGAGCTCTCTGCGATGGCGCATCTCTTCCTGCTCAGGCAAGAGGAGGAGAGGGAGGGACAGACACGCGGGCACCACCTGCTCTCCCTGTCGCCTTTTACTCGCCCACCCGCAATGCTGCAAAGAGGCAGCAGCTCACTGTTGTTTTGCCACTGCTGCCCAGGCTCTGGGAGCAGGCCCCCGCGGGACTTGACAGCTTCCAGGAGGCTGTCAAGGGAATGCTCCTTGAGGCGCTGAGGCACTTGAGCAGCACCTAGGTGCCGGCCTTGAGCTCCTGCTCTTGCCGGCACGCTTGGAGCGGCCTGAAGAAGGGGAGAGAGAGGGGGGGCTTGAAGAAGGGGGTGGGGCTTCACCATGTGACTGCCCCCCCGGAGCATCTCTCCCGGAGCGAAGTACTGGGGCGCTCCGGCAGGATGAGAGGCCTGGTTATACCCTACTTTTCTACCCAGCAGGGACCCAAAGTGGCTTATAATATTTTTCCATTCCTCCATTTTATCTTTGTAACAACAACTCTGTGAGGTAGGTCAGGCTGAGAAAGCGGCTTGCCCAATGTCACAGTGAACTTCTACGGCAGAATGGGAATTTGAACCTAGATTTCCCACATTGTAGACCAATACTCTAAACACATCACTATTGTCATTATAGCAATCTATACCACACAGGTGAAGGGGAGAATAATGGTGGCCACAAGAGCAAGGAAAGTTTGGAGGTCACTAATGTGTGGATGCTCCATTACCACTGTGAATGCATCTGCACTGACAGCAGCATTGAGAGCTCCAGAGAGAACCACCTCCATGTCAAAGCAGCCCAGAACTCTGGACCAAACTAGATATGACATCTCCCCAGTGATCCAGGGCCTGATTCTACTGATCCTCCTCTGCATCATCTTCCCTTCTCATAGGGCTGGCATTTGTGCTCCAGTGTGGGGTTTCACATGCACTGACTGCAACATGAGGAGTCCCACAGTGGGACAAATAGGCCTTCAGGAAAATGGTTGAAACCTCTCCTCCCAATTGCTGCACTCCAAAGCCCAGTTGGACCCCAGAGTGCTGGAGAATGCTAGGGAACCTGACCCGACTCATAGCTGATGTCATGTCTGTATTGGCCCTTTGTTTTTCCAAAGGCAAATGGATACAGTGTGTCTCTGGCCCTTGCCTTTAAAAGACAGAACAGTGTCAAAGGCAGCTGCAACACAGAATGCATGAGAGTAATCATTTGTTCACCCTTCTGGAAGACAAGCAGCAGCCCCGTAGCTAGGGATATTTTTAGGAGGTGGGCTGTGGGGGCCCACCAGCTAATTAAATCAAAGTTAATTAGTGAAACTCCTTAAAAGTCAGCTGTCACCTAAGGCAGCCCTGCACCCCTGCCAGACTCTAGGGCAAGTGTGTGTGGGGGTAATGCCCAGCAGCCTCAGCTTCCTCTCTCCCCTGGAGCACTGCATACTTGCTCAAGTTGTGAAGCTAGGCAGGGAGGGCCCAGCCCAGGAGGGAGAGGCCCAGACGAAACACTAGGGGGCTGGGCCCCATGGGCTCCACGTTAGCTACGGGCCTGACAAGAAGTCTTCTCTCCTAAGGTAACAAATATGAGTTGCCCTTCTGCTCAGAGAAGCAGTTCTTGTATAAATAGGACTATACCTTCATGAGCAGAAGGCCATTTCTGGATACAAACCTATGGTGTGGATACAACCCAATGATATTTTAAAGGGAAGACAATAAAAAGTGCTGTTCATGTGTGCATTTGATTTTTATCCCACCCTGAGTTCTTTGCATTCTTCAGAGTAGTTTAATACACTGCAATTATTACATGAAAGGATGGTAATATCTGACCAGCCAAAACCTCTTACTTGATAACAGGTGCCAAAGGACCAAAAGTCTCTTCTTGTGTACACAACATGCCTGTTGTGACATTGCTGAGTAGAGTTGGCTCAAAAAAGTTTTTTCCATAACTGTGTCTTTTTCCTCCTGTAATTATGGATGCTCCTTGGGAAACTGCATCATCAACGTGTTTCTCAACCTAAGAGAAGCACAGCAAATGTGAGTTAAAACAGCATCTGTGGAATGGCTGTCCTTTTGAATTCCCATAGTATTGAGGCACAGACAACAGCCTGGATCCTGTGATCCATCAGCAGAAAGTGCTGACAGTTGTGGAACTTTCCTGCATTCCCTTCTACCTTAGTAAGACTGGAAAAGTTGATTCTGAGGTTGCATCACCTAACAGCCACATATTTCATGGGTAGGGGTATAGTGGGGAGTGGGGAAAAGGCAAATTTGTTTTTCCTCCCTCTTCCTTCACCTGAGCCATGCTAACATAAGAGGACCATTTGACCACCTCGCCCACTCACATAACTGTTAATCCATGCGGGTCTGAAAACCCAGGAACCAACTTTTGTGGGGTCAGATGGGACTGCTGGGAGAGGGAAAGCAGGAAAGATCCCAGATTTTCCCACTTACAGGTCACAGAATCTAAGTACATGCTTGCAAATAGTCATGCAAATATGATCAGAATATCCCAATACCGCTCCATAACACAAAAAATAAAGCTAATGTTTACCTTTTCCACAGCTTTTTCATTAATGAGGGGCCCCTGGGTAGTCCCCTCTTCAAATCCATTGCCAACACGCAGCTCTTTCTTAATGGCTTGTGCAAACTTTTCCACAAATGCATCATGGATCCCTTTTTGCACCAAGAAGCGGTTTGTACATACACAGGTCTGATGAGAAAACACAACTTCTTCTGTTAACGCTCCACTAACAGTTCATTATTCACAGCACAGCTTGTTGGTATTTCAACTGTGATAAGGCTGTTCTTTCTCCTCTGTGCCTTCATTTGACTAGATTTATCCTCTGGTTGTGTAGTCCTTCCTTCCATCTTAAACGGCTATCTAGCTTTCCTGGATATAAATGTATTTATTTATTAATGCGATTTCTACCCCTCTCTCCCCACACGGGCTCAGGGCAGCTTACAACAATGGGACCAATTGCCAATAAAACAATATACAACAGTATAGTACTTAATAAAAATATAAAATTGTATAAAATCCTAAAGTGCTAGTTGATTGTATAATTCGTTACTTACAATGGCGCATTCGGGTATCTAGACATCTGCTAAGTTCCAGCTCTCTGTCATCCCGCATCACTCGATGGAAGTGAGCAGATGTTAAAAACCGAGGGCCGGGCTCGTTGATGGTAATAGTGGAGGGGCGGCTCCTAGTTGAAAGCCTGGCAGAAGCAGGGCTGGCTCGAGGTGTTTCTGCGCCCTAGGCGAGGCCGCCTTGTGGCGCAGATGCCAACCTCCCGATGGGGCCTGGAGACCTGGAGACCTCTGAAGCCAGCCACCCTTTTGCCACCGCCGCCAGCAAGCGAGCGCGCCGCCAGCAAAGCCGATCGGGGAGGCCCGCATGGGCGGCAGTGGCAGCGGGGCTGGGAGACCCAGCCAAAGATCAGGCCGTGGAGGGGGGGCATGGAGGCAAGCGACTACAGAGAGTGACGGAGATCGTGGCCAGCCCCAGCCTGCTGGCCCGCACCGGCATCGACAGAAAGATACGCAGCGGCGGCAGCGAAGTGGGGGGGCATCAGACACGGCGAGGTGGGGGGCATCAGATGCTTCCTCTGCCCGCCTCTGCTCCTCCCGGCCACGGCTCAGTCTGGGGGGGGGGAGAGATGTAGCACATGAGGCAGCACGGAAATGGAGCTGGAGGCTGCGGGAGCTTGAGCTGGGCCATGCGGCGGCAACAGCAGCTAAGAAGGAAACGATAGTTCGGGGAAGTTTTCCATTGCCCCGAGAGTAGAAAAGGAACACCATCTCCTTCAGTCCCGGCTCCTTAGAGAAAGGATGCCTGCCGAGGCTCCATCCTGTGAAGAAAGCAAGCCCCCCTCCTCCCTCCCACAAGGAGCAAGTCTGAACTGCGCCGGCTGACCAGCCCAAAAAGGCGCTCCACACATTCCCACAAACATCAGACCCACATTCATATGTCACATGCTGGCTCTGCCAGCCAGAGGTGAATTTTGGCTTGCTGCTTTAGCAGGCAGAATGCACAGACCTCTCCGCCCCCCCCCCTCTAGCAAAGCCACCCTGATTCACCTCGACTCGTTCACAAAACCAGACCCCTGACCCTCACCCACCCCCGGCTCCCATCGTCGCCTCCAAACCAAGTAAGGAGCCCGCCTGCGCGAGTGAGCTGCTGCGGTGGCAGGGCGGGCAGCGGTGGCGGGGGGGGAAGGCACAGTTTGGCGCCCCTATCCAGGGCTCTCCGCCCCATCCAGGGCCCAGCGCTCTAGGCGAATGCCTAGTTTGCCTAGTGGTTGAGCCGGCCCTGGGCGAAACAGCTCCGTCTTGCAGGCCCTGCAGAACCACAAAAGGTCCCGCAGGGCCCTGATCTCCTCCGTGAGCTCATTCCATCAGTGTGGAGCCACCACCAAAAAAGCCCTGGCCCTCATCGCGGCGAGCCTGGCCTCCTTGGGGCCAGGGAGGGTCAGCCGGTTCTGACCCCGATCTCAATGCTCTCTGGGGTATATGTGGGGAAAGGCGGTCCCTCAGGTACGTAAATGTTAACGAAGCTTAAGAGCAAGAATGATGGTCCTACATATTTTCTTGACCTACCTCAGTGCTTCAGCAGCACTGCCCTGTTCTTTCATTTGCCTCTACATAATGGGAACCATTCAATGTTTTAAAAAGAATGCAATCTAACTGTAAAGCAATGCTGATTTAAATTTAAACATTTTAGCTTCTGCTGTCATTACTCACCTTACTACTGGAAACTGAGGCAACAACTCTAAAGATGCTGAAGCTGGAGAGAATGACCAGGAAAGTAATGCCTGCACTAAGAGTGGTTTCTAAAACAATCTAAAAGCAAACTTAAAGTAAGCATTATCCTTCAAAACAAAGTTTGAGTCCAGTGGCACCTTTAAGACGAACAAAGTTTTATTCACGGTAGAAGCTTTAGTGTGCAAGCACACTTCCTCAAGTATCTGAGGAAGTGTGCTTGCACATGAAAGCTTATACCGTGAATAAAACTTCCTCGGTCTTAAAGGTGCCACAGATTCAACTTTGTTCTGCTGCTTCAGACCAACACAGCCACTCCACCTAATATTATCCTCCAAGTTAAGGCAATGGCCTGAATATCCAGAATTTGTCTGTTGCTTACTCTTCAAAATACATCTCTAATCTTAACACTTCTAGAACTTTCACTTGGCTCCCAGTGCCTTGTCTGAAATTCAGAAATGTTACTGAGAAAGGCAGAAACCAAAATGAATTAAATAATTTAAAACTTATCTCTACTGTGCCTGCCATGTAGGGTGGAGTCACATACATTCTAAGATGTGGTAGACATACCATGAACCACATTTCAAATCACTTGTTTTCCAACGTAGAGAATCAACTCACTTCCACCATATGTCTGAAGTCTGTTTTCACCTTTATTTGCTCATAAATATTTCTGATTTGACTACATCTTGATAGGATCCAGGTTCTACTTTTTTTTTTAACAACAGCTTAGTTGAGCTACAGATCCATTTATTCAGTGCCATCAATGTAGGGCATACTTTAGAGAATAACAATGAAAAAGAGGACTAGTCCCAGCTCCAAGGAGCTTGCAGTCAATTTTGATAACAGGAGAGATAAAGAAAGAGACGGAAAGAGGGAAGCAAGGGAGAAAGGCAAAAGACTGTGTTTCGTACACTCTAGCTTCAGTTCAGCTGGAATGATGATTAGGGACTGAAGCTGAAGACTTTAGGAGAAAGGTAAGAACTGAAGGAACAGAGGAGTGACGCTGCAGCTGTTGTGAAATGGTTCCAGATATTCAGTTAAGAAAACAAGACACTGCTGGATTGCAATTGATAATGAAACTCAAGACAATGCATCTACCTGGACTGAATCAAAATCTAGGTTTCCTGTCTCATTACTAGTGCTTATTTCCCCACACCTATTACCCCTCTGCATATCTCACCTAAATCCAATCACGCCAGTGTTCCCACTAAGCTGAGTTAGTGTGAGCTAGCTCACAGTTTTTTAGCCTCCGGCTCACACATTTTTGACTCAGCTCAGGAAGGAGGGCTCCAGAGCAAGCTAATTTATGCAGTAGCCAAATCGCTTGCTCACAACTTTAATGCCAGTAGCTCACAAAGTAGAATTTTTGCTCACAAGACTCCACAGCTTAGAGGGAACATTGAATCACACCCACCATTGTAATTCACCTGCTATTGTCATTTGCTTGCTAATGTCATTTGGCATCTGAAATCAATCCACTTTCCAATAAATAGGACAGATGGACTCCCATTCTAGATATATCTGAAGAACTGAACAGTGACCCACAAAAGCTCATACCCTGCCACATATTTTGTTAGTCTTTAAGGTGCTACTGGACTCTTGCTCTTTTCTACAGTTAAGAAAACAGGAGATGACTTTGGGTGGCTGAGGCTGTATAATGCCAGTGAATAAAATAACCAGAACTGAATACACAATCCAGACAACCTTAGGAACTCAGGTGCCAATAGTCTCAGTGCAAAAGTATTTAAAATGTACTCAAGGATGCAGACCTGAACACACTTACTTAGAAGAAAGATCAAGCGAAATCAATGAGACAAGTTTATAGAATCAAGCTAACTTCCTCACTGAAATAAAGGAAGTCCTGAACTGTGCTTAAATATCACTAAATTGTGCAATGAACCAGTAAGACTTTCTTCTTATTTCTCTAAATGTTTTTATTGTTATGAATGATTGTTTATTTTAGGTTATTTTTCCAAGTGCAAGATACAAACCAGAATCATAAAAGGACAATGCTCAAATTATCGAATATAAGGGGAAAAATTACATATTTTAAGGTTAAATGAAATAGGACACTTGCTCTCACCTGGCCAGAGTTTCTGTATTTAGAAGCTAAAGCTCCTGCAACTGCTTTGTCTACATCAGCGCTGTCAAACACTATGAATGGAGCATGTCCGCCAAGCTCCATGGAGACTCTCTTCACAGTGCCAGCAGCATGACGCAGCAGTATCTGCAAGAACACAAGATCACATCTTTTTGTCTTAGCTCAGGAAGGAGGGCTCCAGAACAAACTAATTTATGCAGTAGCCAAATCGCTCACTCACAACTTTAATGCTAGTCGCTCACAAAGTGGAATGTATGGCCACAACACTCCACAGCTTAGAGGGAGCATTGCTCTGGACTGAAATTCAAGAAGAAAGCAAAGTTCACCTGTAAGACAGATTCAGAAATCCTTTCAGGCTCTCCCCAGTAGTATTTTCCATGTAGATTGCAAGTTACAAACTGTTTTCTCTAGGCAGCTCCATTAAATTTAATGGGACAAGTGCAGTGTACATTGGTGTGGCTGCAATCTTTAGCAGCAAACTTTAATTATATCAAGAACCAATCCCATTAACAGTACTTTCAGAAATCAGTGGACTTCCTTGATCAAGGACTTTTGGTCCATAATTATTTTGTTAAAGTTTTTTTCCTATAGTGACATTGTATACTGTAGTTTTATGTGAAACTCTGTGCACACTTCAATGGGCTAAAATTGTTTCACATACGATGACAGAAAATAATTCTAGAAGAAGAAACTGATTCCACCAAGAAATCTGCTCTTAGAGAAGAGCATAATTTCAATAAATGTTGGTGATGACAAGAAGGTTGTACATTTCCCTTCTGCTTTGTTCAAACTGTTAAAGCAACTATATAGTTTCGAATTGCATTTATATTCTGCTTTTCTTCCATCATGGAACTCTGGACTAGAGATGGGTACAAACAGGGAAAATGCAGTTTGTGGTCAAACCATGAACCAGGAGGTTTGTTCACGAACCAAATTGGTTTGTGGCCCAGCAAACCCCGTTGGGTCCCTTTCAACGGGGTTTGCAGAAAGCCTAAAAGATAGCTGAGTGACAGGGAGCAACTTGATCCCTGCCGTTCAGCTTTAAAGGAACTGCACAAGACAGCCTGAAACGAGTGGTGGGGAGCACCCGCCACTCAGCTGTTTTTGTGGGGAACAGAAAGCCCTGCTTTAAAAGTTTGTGATGGTAGAATTGTCACAAACGTCTGTTCGCAAACCACAAACAGCAAAATTAGTGACAAATTTTGATTTGTGGTTTGGTTCATTCCCATCCCTACTCAAGCCAGCATAGATGGTGTTCACAGGAGGTCTCCAATTCAGGCTCTGACAGGACCAGATTTGTTTAGTTTTGGCAAGATCTGTGCCTTTCAACCATGTGTTAATGCCTATGCACCTTTATTCCACAATAACTTTGAGAACTCTCTGACCTTAGTGAATATTTAAGGGTCAAGCGTACAGTTCTTGAGACACAAAAGGGTACCTTTCCTGTAGCTGTTGATCCAGTAAAAGAGATTTTGGCTACCAAGGGATCAGTGCACAGAAATTCCCCAACTGCTGCTGCCTGCTGCCTAGAACATGGAATAACATTATATACTCCTGCAGGAATTCCAGCCTGATTCGCAAGCTGCAATGACAAAAAGTAAATGTGTGACATTTTGAATAGACGTTAATTCCTTTTTGTGCATCCCTGCTGACTGAGAGTGAATTGAAACTAAATACACAAGCCAGTTAGGCTAGCTAACTAAACTCACAAACCAGTAAGCCTCTATCTAGCTATAAATAAAAAAAATCATGACAGTGAACAAACTCGTGACTGCCTAACCTATCTGCATCCATAAGTTCGAGACAGGTTGTGTTGGTGGTAGGGTTGGGAGTCACAACTGGTGGTGGCAAGTGCTGTCAAATCCCAGCCAACTTATAGCAACCCTATAGGGTTTTCAAGGCAAGAGCCGTTCAGAGGTAGTTTGGTATTGCCTGCCTCTGCGTAGCGACTCTGACCTCCTTGGAGGTCTCCCACCTAAATACTATCCAGGGCCAACCTTGCTCAGCTTCCAAGATCTGATGAGATCAGACTAGCATGGGCCATGCAGGTCAAAGCGGGAGTCACAACTGCCTTATACTAAATCAAACCATGGGTCCATCTAGCCCTGGCCTGTACTGTTTCCTCCAACTGCTAGTGACTCACCAAATGTCTGACTAGAGGCTATTCCCAGCCTACCCAACAGCATTTTTAATGGAAATGGCTGGGACTGCACCTGGGACTGTTCCCTAAGCAAAACATCTGCTCTTCCATCAAACCATGGCCCTCTTGCAGAAGGTTCTCCCTCACTAATCAGTACCGAAATCTTACCTCAGCAAGTGCTAAAGCAGATAAAGGTGTATCTTCTGCTGGTTTCACTACCACTGTGCAGCCAGCAGCCAGAGCTGCACCCACTTTCCTTGTAATCATAGCGCTTGGGAAATTCCACTACGTTGAAAAGAATGTATGTGATTAGTCCATAGAGTCCACACAAAGCTGAAATAGTTGGCAAGTTCAGAACTTTCTGGTGGAAAGTCATATGCAGAACAATATAGCAAGCTTTAACAGCATTTAGATGAACCAGTCTCAGGGGTTCATCCGAGAACCTCAAGAACACACTTATAAATGCCATCCAGTCTAGCAACAAAATGGCATCTTACTTCCAGTCAACTTTTATTATTTATATTTTGAACAGGCACAAACATATTGAAGCCTGCACCACATAAGAAGCTCCTTTCCTCTCCACTATACCCTAAACATTGTGTTAACAATGACAGAATAATCCAATGTCTATTAAATGACACAAACCCAGACATCACAGCTCTGGTTGCTAGGTTTTTGGTTGAAGCGGTTAAAGATAGATACAAGCTTTCTGTATGATCTGCCTTATTTTGCTGTCTCTGTCTCCTTGCTCATATTTTATCACACCATGTATTTTATTGACATGCCATTAAAGGTATTTGATTTGATTTGAAGCCTGCACCAAGCTGAAAGCTCAGACACCCAAGAGAATTCTGGGTAAGGCTTTCAGGGGACAAGAAAGAATGATTCTGTGACCTTCCAGAACTACTGGAATGTTTACCTCATCATTTAAAATCAATTCATGGTGCAAATATTGCAATTTGAGGTGGGGAGGAATCAAACCATAACTACGCACATTAAGTTGTATTTACCTAATTACATTTTATGATCAAAACCTGAATTTTCACTGCACAGAACTTTAATATCACAAGCACAGTACACTGCAGCTGGTTCAGAATACCAAGAACAAAGGTCGAATTTGAGCAGTCAGCTGGACTCACAGGAGTAATGATGGCAGCAACGCCCACCGGCTGCTTCAGCACTAGAATTCGTCGGTCTTTGGCAGGAGATGGAATGATGTCACCGTAAGTCCGTCGAGCTTCCTCAGCAAACCATTCCAAGAAGGAAGCAGAGTAGAGAATTTCACCTTGAGCTTCTTTGAGTGGTTTCCCCTGTGACAGATCGAGAATTGGAAAAACACACATAGTAAGCCATTAACCTTTTATTTAAAAGACTGCAATGGGAAAAAAAATTCTACAAAAGTTTGAGTAAGCACGTGGAAGATTTTATAGTATATCTATAATGACCGAAAGTAATATGCAAGAGCAACTGAACTGTACCCACTGGCTGCTTCAACTCACCTTTTAAGAAACATAATCACAGCCCCAGGAATACACCTTCCTCTTGCGCATACTTACATTCTCTGCGGTAATTATCTTTGCAAGGTCATCTTTATTCTCTATCATTAAACTGTACCATTTACGAAGCAAAACACCTCTTTCCTGAAAACGAAACAATATTTTAGCAGAGTTAACAATAAAAAACTGTCCCCAATTTGTCACTATTGCTTAGAACACAACATAAGATTTTATTATGATTATGGTTTTAATTTGTTAGCCGTCTTTACAACCCTTGTGAAGACAGAAAGGCAGGATAAAAATTTTGTAAAATAAAAAAACTAAATAATAATAATAAGAGTCCTGCTGGATCAGCCCAGTGGTCCATCGAGTCCAGTATTCTGTTTCACAGTGGCCAGCGAGTTGCCCTGGAAGGCCAACAAATAGCACAGAGGACAAGGCCCCCTCTGATGTTGCTTTCTAATTCTTGGTTTCAGAAATTTACTGACTCTGAATATGGGAATTCCCTTCACTCACCATGGCTATTAGCCACTGGTGGATATATCCTCCATGAATCTAACTTCCTTTTAAAGCCATTTGTATTTGTGGCCATCAGTATGTCTACTGGCAGTGAATTCCACAATTTAATTATTTGTTGAGCAAATAAATGTTTCCTTATGCAGCACTAATACAAAATGTCTTACAACCTTTAAGCACCGATTTCTTTCACTCTCAGCTATTCTGTTACATCTGAATATGGACCTAAGTTTCCAGATGCAAGTCTAGTATTATTCATGGAACCACAAAATCACTCAATATAGCAGACCCACAGCAGAGAATATACTGGGGGTGGGTGGTGAGGCATTGCTAGAGATGGATCCATGGGCAACCAATCTCTTTTTGTCATAACAGAAATGTGTAAGTAACACATATTTCTCCTTCTCGCCTTCGGTAAACCCCACAAGTTCTGTACCTTATTGCTACAGATAAATACAGCTGCCCCTCTGGAATTATGCACAGACACACGCTTATTGATTTATAACTTCCAGAATTGGGTTATAGTCTTGCAACACGTACCAGGACTAAACCCCGGGCTAGCTTAGGCTCTTCTGGGATGGGGGTGTCCCCTCACCTGTCTGTCACAAGCAGCAGATGCTTCCTACTAACTCAGGGCTGCCAAATGACCAGAAAACGTCTTCCCTGAGAGGGTTCTTGAACTTTCGTCTGACATGAAAAACTCAGCCAAGCGACGCGTTTTCATTGTACTAAATACAACGGCCTGCTCATTGTGGCAGTGACAAGGCAGGGGCGGCTACAGCAACTGCTTCCCCTCTTTCAGCGTAGCCTTTGAACGTGCCCCCCCCTCCCCCCCCCCGGGAGCCGCTCTCCGTCCACGCTCATTTCCCGCCGAGCGAACGGCCGCCCTCGGAAGGGAAGAGGCTGCCGTCCAAGCGGCGCCCTCCTCCTCGCCCTCACCTTGGCGGAGACCGCGCTCCAGGCGGCGCCGGCTTCGTAGGCGGCCCTCACGGCGGCCTGAGCTTCCGCCGGCCCGCAGTCCGCGACCTGGGCCAGCTCCGCGCCGGTGGCCGGATCCCGTACGGGGAAAGCGGCCGCCGCCTTCACCCAGCGGCCCCCCACGAAGCCTTCGGAGCGCGCCAGAGCCCTGGGAAGCATGGCCGGGCCGGGGCCTGCGCGGCTCATGTGCACGCCCGCGGGAAGCCCCACCGCAGTCGGCCTGGCCGGGAGCAGCGGCTGCGGGAGCAGCGGAGGGCGGCGGCAGGGGAGGGCTGGCCACGCTCGAAAGCTCCGCGGCCTGAAGCAAGCGGCCATGGCCGGGGGTGGAGCGCGGGGCGGGCAATCACGAAAGATCCGCCAAGTCGCCGCTTCGGGAAGCCTCCCGCGCTGCTTCGCCCGCCGCTCAGCTTTGCTTGCGAGAGCTGCGCCCGCGTTATGGTTGGGGACTGCGACTCTCTGACACCGGCGGGGAACACCGCCTCCTCCAGGCTTCGTCCACGGGCATCATGTGCAGCACACAGTGCTATCATGCATGTAAGTCCAGCTGTGTTTCGTTAAGACTGGCAGGCAGATCAGCGTCTGTGTAACGTCTGTTTAATTCAAGGTGCAATCGCCAATAAATGTTGTCGTTGTTATTCAGTCGCACAGTCGAGTCCGACTCTTTGTGACCCCATGGACCACATGACGCCAGGCCCGCCTGTCTTCCTCCGGAGTTTGCTCAATTTCATGTTCGGTGCATCGGTAACACCGTCCGACCGTTTCATCCTTTGCCGTCCCCTTCTTCTTTGACCTGCAGTCATTCCCAGCCAATAAATACTTTTTTTCTTATTAAAGAAGTGAGAGAGTTCAGGTCTATGACAGTGTGATCCCACCTTCTGACACTTGCATTTTTGAAAATAACAATAAACAAACGTCAACAGACTTGCTGTTTGGAACAGTAATGTTGTACAAATAGATTCCCAAGCCAAAAAAGAAGCCACAATGAGGAGGAAAGTTGTTTGGTTATTTAATTGCAATCAAATAACAGAAGACAGTTAGGCCAAACCAGCCTATCAAGAATTGACTGCTTTCTGAGCAATATAAAGAAGTACATGAAGTTTTATACCCAAGATGACATAGACAACAAGATAACATCCAGAAATCATAATTGGTCACAAATAGACAGAGCATCATTTGAGTAGTCATTTGTTCATTGGTCAGTTACAGGGAAAGGTGTGACTACATGACATCTTAAATGTTTATTTAACCTAACCTTATTAATAATACCCAAGGATTCTTCATACCGAAACAAAATGTGTTGTTTTCTGATATGAAACTAAAGCCAGACACTGCAGAGTTTTACCCCAAACAACTAAAACCATGAACCCTATACTTAAAGCAAATAAATCTATTGAAAAAACCTATCTTCTGCTGTACCAGCAATACTACACTGAAAGCCTGCTAAGACACCAGACAGCTAGATAGCTATTTCAGCCAAACAACTTGAAAGGAAAAAAAGAATGTTGTTTCTTGTCTGCTAGCATCAGCTAGAAAGACACTCTAACCTACAAATGAGAGGCCTTACTACTTAGTAGGCTGTTATTAAATCCTAATAAAACCTTAATATTAAAAAATCATAAAACCAGAAAAATATAAATATGTGAATAATCTGAATTTTAAAAAATCATTATGTATTCCCATCCATGCTACAGTAATTAAGTATCTACAGCAACAATAGACATGTAGCAATTTAGGCATGTGGTATTTGAGCCAACCAGAGTCTCAGTCTTTCGGACTTCTGTCTAGCCAGTCCCTTGAAGATGCATCAGCTTGCAGCTCTGCTCTGCATCTGGGATGTCTAATACAATATAATGCTTCTGTGAAAATTACTAAAGAATTACTGTTTAAAAATACCTCTCTCAAAGTACATACAATATCAAAATATTGTATAGTTTCACTATCAATATAATGCATTTAAACAGTTGATAAATAAATGTAGTTTTAATAGTCTTCAGTAATTTTCACAGAAGCGTTACTTTGTGATTCTCTGGCTTGCTGCGTTGGGATGTCATCTGTTCTTTACAGGCATTTCTGGTATCCCTAAAATATTAATATGTGGCTTGATAGAAAGTGTTACTTCTGAGGTGAGAGTGCTTCTGCCTGCAGCTTCAGGCCCTCCAATCCCTCAGGGGAAATTCATATACTATCCATTTTGAATATTCACAACAACAATCAAAATCTATATATCTAATAGTGAAGTGGCCCCGTCAGTGCGGATACTTAAATCAGCGCTCCGGGGCCACCTGGGGGGCAGGGAGAGGTTTGTGCACACGTGGGGTGGTCCCCACGTCTGCACAAAAATCAGAAACCCTGCAAAAAAACCCGGGGGGATGTTTAAATCCCCCCGAAACTGGCAGAGCATCCCCTGCGCATGCGCAGGGAACGCTCTGCAAACTCCGGGTTGAGGGAGGGGGAAACAGCGAGGGGCAAGCGGCTCCCCGCTCACCCCTGGCCTCAGTGCCAGGTCGGGAGGGGAGGGAAACAGCGAGGGGCGAGCGGCTCCCCGCTCGCCCCTGGCTTCAGTGCCGGGTCAGGGGGGGAGGGAAACAGCGAGGGGCAAGTGGCTTCCCGCTCGCCCCTGGCTTCAGTGCCGGGTCGGGAGGGGAGGGAAACAGCGAGGGGTGAGCGGCTCCCCGCTCGCCCCTGGCTTCAGTGCTGGGTCGGGAAGG